CCAATGAAAACTATTACTACTGTATGTAATGAAGGTCCAGACTATCCTTAGCTTTTACACAATTTTTAATGAGTCCCTGTTGCCTCAATGAGAAAAAGAGAGGCCTAGGAGCAGTATTCTAAACTAATGGGCATCCATGAGGACACAGATAATTGGAGCTGAGAGGAAAAAAAAATATATGCAAGGCCAGTACTCTATTTGAAGGCTTGTAGTTTCAACACTTCTTCCTTAGATTAACTAGTCTGGGACGTTATTTGCTTACACAAAAAGAACCATTCTACTAGAGACAACTTATCTGAAAATTATAGGTAAAAGAAAGCTTCTACACTGGGAGTGATCCAATTATATTGTAAAATGTGAAATAATATTTCAATTAATAAGATGCAGTCAAAATTCTTGCTACTGCCCAACCTAGTCATGCATCTGACATTATCTAGAAAAGAATCTTGAATTATTAAACTTTTTTTTTTTCAAGACAAATTTGCTGACTGGGTGCTACAGTCTCATGTCTTACTTACTGTTGCATCTGATGCAGACAGACAGAGGTACCTCTTTATCAGTGCCTTTGTCAGCCAAAGACATTTCCCAGCTTTTATTTTTATTGGCCTTATGTATATTTCCAAGGCTGAAATAGAAGAATTACAGCAGTTAGGATTTCTGCAAAAACATCCTGTCTCTGAAGTCCACTCATAAGTGAACAAAAACAACTCTTACAGTTTTACCTCATTATATTTTATGGGCTGTATTTGCAAGAGACCTAGTCCTTCTGCTCTGCAGGTCCATCACGAGTAATGTAAAGGTGCCTCCAACCCCTAACAGCACCATCCAAAATTCAAACGTATGTCTGAAAGCATTGTCCAAACACTTCTTGAACTGTAGCAGCTTGGTGCTGTGACCACTGCCCTGGGGAGCCTGAGCCTCTTCTATGCTCTCCACTGTCTGGTTAAGAACCTTTTCCTAATACTCAACATAAACCTTATTAACCATATTTTTTAAACAGCACACTAATTATCAGTAAGCCAGATAACTACGAAGGCTGCAATGCTCAATGAATGAGGCTTGAACTGGAGTTTGAAACGAATGTATCCTTTGAGTGACATTTAAAACAATTTTTCTACCCTCACTTTGCTTCTTGTGCTTTTTCTTCACTTTCTATGTTATCCAAAATCATTGTACAACAAGTCTTCAATGCTTTGATGTCAAACAAACTATTGCTACAATACTAATAGACACAAATAGCAATCATCCAAGTAATAATAACATCTCTTTTTTTTACCCTTCTCTCCTCTTGTATCTTTCTCCTCTCTAGACATACTAGGGTACACTCGTACTATGAAAAGGACTTGAAATGTGTTAATAGGCTTTTAATATCTTCTGGTGGTTTTAATTACAGAATATTCCATGTCCTGCATTTTGTCATATTTTCTTTCTCTGGTAAAATAATGTGACATGAATTTCAGTTGGAGTGCAATAGTTCCCATAAGTTCCATCAACATCATTTTTAGAGTCGAGCACACTGAGTTTCTGTGCCATCAGTACTTACCTTTATGCAACTAAATCTCTTAAAGTATAATTTTACTTATAAAGTCCTTCAAAAGGACAAAAGCCACGTGAGGATTAAGGCACTGTTAAAAACAGGAAACTGGCCTTAATTACCGTGATGTTGCTAAATTTCTTAGCTTAATTCATTAAAAATATATAAAGTAGCAGGAAACCAAGAACCTGTGAGAATGTGCCTTTTCTCCAGAGTAAAAAATTTTCTCTCATCTTTGGCTTGTCTATAATGACAAGAATATCACGTCTGTGAAAGAGGAGAGCTTCACTAAGAAGGTTTTAGAGGGGTTAGCAAGCCAGGGAAGACTGGCAGCATGGGTTGCAGAACAGTCCACATAACCAAGGTACTGTGAACGTTTCTAACCATCACCTGCTCTGGAGGACATGCAGAGACAGCTCCTACACATCACTCTCTCTATTTATCTCAGCTGCACCATTTCTATTGTTTTATGGAGTAACATTTGTTCTTTATAGGCAAATAAAAATGAGGAAACAGCAAGGTCCATTTTGTTTTAGTAGTTTGATACCAGTTTGGTGTCTTAACGTACTGTGTATGCAGACTGTCACTGAAGTCAGCATGCTGGCTAGAGTTCTCCAGGTCAAGAAAGAGAGCTGTGTAAAAATGGGATTTCTGACCTAAAACTGTTCTAGATTGTTGCAGGCATATGAAGCTCATTCAGATTTCTGTTTCTATGAGATAATCCCCTGGTGACTAACCTTTGTAATTTATTCAGGAAAATTTCCCAACTCCCTCTTGCTTTGTAACATCATCTTGCAGGAGCTTCAGGGCTTAAGGTGTTTTTGTTTTTTATTTTTTAAGATTTGATAATCCTATTTAACAGTCTTGCAAAAAGGACTCCAGAGAGAACTTTTCAGTTACACACAATTAGTTTTATCAGCAGCATTATTAAACCATACATTAACTGCTTTATTAAATCTCCTTTATTAATAATAGAAGTTTTTGTATGAAGAACAGAGGGTGGCGTTATACAAAACAGTTTCGGACTCCAATACCAACATATCCTATTTGTGAGTAAAATTATGAATTGAGCCTTCTCATGTGAGATTTCTTTTAAAAGTTGCCTCTCCTTTTTCCCCTACATTCTCTAAACCCTTTCTGCTTTGCTCTCTGTTGCAGGACACAGGGCTGCGCTGGATCCTAAAAGAAAAGAAGACCATGGGGCAAGTCTGACTCGGTTGCTATTTCCCTGCCTAGACTTCCACATCCAGGCCATAGGATGGTAGCTTGTTCCAACCAGCTGCTCTTGGCACTTGAAGCAACGGGCCAGGAAAGTGGCGATGATTATTGCAGAATAAAAGCACAAGCTATGTCCTGTATGGAGGCACAGGGACAGCGTAAAGGAATGTGCTGGGATGCAGTGGCCAAGTAAGGGTGGTAGTTATTAGAGCAGCAGAAGTGGTCAGGGTGAAAACGGGTGCCTGCCTGCTCCAGCCCCACAGCATCCAGACCAGAGTGTGGAGAATACAATGAGTGTGGGACGTGCTTCTCCCTGCTGCATTCCCACTCTCTGATTCTGTATTGTATTCAGCTGGTGGCAGGGCACAGACCATCACCTCCATATGGCACTTTTGTCCATAAATTTAGCTGGCTGTCTTTTGCACCCATTTATGCACTTGTCTTCAAAAACTTCCTGTAACAATTCATTCTTCAATTCAATTCTTGCTGTGTGAAAAGGCACTTGAGCTTATTTTTAAACCCGCTGCCTGATATCTTCACTGTTGTTAGACGTATGGAACAGTCATTGTTTATTCACTTCTTCCCTGTCAGTCCTGATTTTCTTTTTTCTCAACGTATTGTATTTGTCAACGCTACATTTTAGATCTTGTTCTGAATTTACCAAGATTGTAATGCTTAAAATGCTGCAGTTATGGAATGGAACTGAATGCCCTTTGTATTTCCCTGCTCTTAGGACTATTGTGTTGCTCTCCTTCTTCCGTGCAGGCCAGTTCATTAACATTTTAAAACGTGGGATTTAGAATGAATATGTAAATGCACTTTCCAGTCAGTATAGTAATTCCTGCCACTTAGTTTTAAATTGAAATAATGATTGTTAATTGAACATCGAAGATACAGACTGTCTGACTGGACAAGAATGTCCAGTAAAAATATGATCTGAGAAAAATGAGATAAATATATAATTAAATATGAAACGTGGTATTATCTCTGTCTTCCAAATGTTCAGAAGCTTGTGCTAGTTTTGAATGGCCTTTTCAAAGATTCACCTTTTCAAACTTGCCGGCATGATTCTGCCATAAAAAGGAATGCATTCTGGGACACATGCCTGTGAGGGGAACAGGCTGCCTATCACCTTTGCTCTGAGAGCCCTGCTCTCAGCAGTTGGTTCATTCTGCTGTCTCAGGGAGTGATACAAGCCAGTTACTTCTGCTTATAAACAGACTAAAATGACTGTACATCCATATTTTTAGCACAGAACTTTCAAATGAAGGAAAGTATGTATGGGCATCCCTCATTTCTCAGGTATTAACAGATCAGTCGTCTTTGACCTCTCCTCCTTGGCTCACAAAAACAACATAAAATCCGTACAAGATTCCAGTGGACAATATCATCTTTCCTTGTTTATTTTGCTTAAAAATATATACTGTTAGTTAAAAAACAAATAGATAACACATATATATCAGCAACACATATAAAGTGGCACATATGTACTAAGAACAATCTCCAGGTTATTTTGAAAACTACATTCCTTACTGTCTGTAGATATTTACTGACAGCAGAAGAGCTATAATGAACAACAGTTACCACTTGCACTGGACTAACATTTTCTTTACACGTCTACAGTTGCTATAGAACTTCTCCAGAGGCTTTAACAGATGGGATGCTCTCTCACATTAATGTGTGGAATTCCTTTTGCTACATGCTTGTCTGAGGGGGAAAAAATATCCAACCCTCGCATTCTCTGTTGCATTATCTTTTCATAGTATTCTTATAACTAGAACACAAACAGAACAAAATAGCAAAGCCTTCTGTTTGTATTTGGTTCAGCTGTTCATAGGTGATGAAGATGATGGAAGAGCAGAAAGATGAGAATGAGTCCAAAATGCTTTAAGAATATTTCTTTACAGTCAACACACACACATGCACAAAGAAAAAAAAAAAAACACCAAAAGACAGAGTTGCTCCTTTGGAGCTGCTTAGTATTTGCTTTATATGCCACTCAGTTTAATAAGAAAAATACTGTGAAAAATCAGTATTTTTCACAAAAAGTGACATAAAAGAGAAGCTTGCTCACTCTTTCCATTTCTTTGGCCTCATCTGGAGAGGGGTGGCTGCTGCCTTCCCTTTTTCTCCCTGGATGAATCCACAAAAAATGTTCCTACTCAGCTCACAACCTGGAGGCTGCCCTGGGAAGTAGCCCTTACTTATATTTTAAAAGAAAGTTCCCTTTTCCTATCTATACATCTACTTTCAAAAAAAAAAAAAAAAAAAAAAAAAGTGAAACCTTAGGAACTGAGTCTTTCCCAAAACCTAAACGGAGGACAGAAACCCATTTACTTTTTCTCTCCTGTTAATTTAGAAACACATCACTGCAGTGTGCCATCAAATGGCACAGAGCTGAGTCGTCTCTGCACTGCAAGAACAGGAATGGCTTCTTAATTGAAAAAAAAAAATAGCATTTCTAGTGTGAGTGGCAGCTAGACTTTATTTTACTGCTGCCCACCATGCAGTATGTCTATCCCTTTCAGGGGCAGACAGAGCTACAGCAATTATTTTTCCAGTTTTCATCGTTAGGTGAAATCATAATGTGGGTGCTCACACATTTTTCATCTGTTTAAGAACCATACCAATCCAGATGCTAGAAGAATAGTGAAAGGGTCTTGTCTGCCTACACATCCAAAGGGAAATGGAACGGAAACTGGAAACAGAGGGTCATTTAAGGCAAGGACCAGGCTTATTTTGCCTTGTCTCCTCTCAGAGAGCCATTAATCTCACCCGCTTTGCAGAAACCCAGGAAGGTATGTATGCAGGCTCATGGGAAAGCTGTTTTCTCTTGACAGAGTGGGAAGAAAGGAGAAAAGGTCAAGAACAGTGTGTTTACCAGACCCATGTGCTCCTTTATGCGTGCTGCTGCTGCATGCAGCTGCTTTCACTCTCAGCTGGCATTTTGCGGTTTTGAATACTAGAGCACTAAATAAAATATGAGATTTTAATACCTATTATTTCATGTATCCAGTGTGGGATGCTAAAGTAAACAGAATATTGCACGAGTGCACATTTCATTCATATGAGCAGAAGCTTAAAACAGAAATGGGGAGAACAATTAACAGCCAAAGCCCACAGTATACAGAACGTGGGGTACGGAAAAACTACAGACAGATATAAATTTCCTTTTAAAGAAATATACTTGAAAGACCAGTTGCTTAATGTTGTAAGCTAAGGAGAACACTGACTCACTAAGTCAATATTTACTAAATTTACCAGGCCAAATTCAACTCTTGTTCTAAGCAGAAACAATTTTACTGTTGTTTCACATCAATGAAAGGAACTGGCCTTGAGACCAAATCTGGAAAATGTACAAAAACTTTAATCAGGGCATGCAGTCCTATGTTTAAGGATTATTTTAAATAATTTATTTTAATTTGATTTCCATTTTTTAGATTTTTAATTTTAATATTTCAATTTGGCATTTTACCGATAAATAAGAACCTTTTATCCAGCAGCACGGCAAAACTGATAGATCCTTTTTCCCCTTTGGGGGGCTTCGTAACTGCAAGCAGGGAAAAACAGCTGGTCTCTGCACAGAATGACAAATTAACAAGAGAGTGTGTTTTATACTTTCTTTGCAGCTCTTTTTAAAACTAGAGGTGATGAGGTACGAAATAGGTGCTAACAACTCAAACAACAGGAAATTCCAACAATCTATATTCTTTTTCTCAAGGTTTCATTGATAAACAACTACAACTAATGCTCTGTAGGCTGAATCTCTCAATCTATTGCAAATCAAGAGCAAGTCCACTGAAGCCAAATGACTTGCATGCATGCTAATTCAGTCATGCCTTCATGCTTAAGGGACTTTTGTTGAGCGAACTTTTCGGTTACTGGAGCAAGAGCACTTTCCTCAGACTCTTTTCTGAGCTATGAATGCAACGGGAAAGCTTAAAGAAACGATAAAAGAAAGCAGATTGGAGAAAAGAGGAGGGGAAGAAAAACGTTTACATGTGCTGTTTGGTTTTAGAACCACAAAACCTTCCTTGTTAGTAGAGGTCATCTAAGAAAACAGCAGATGCACAGATTCTTAATTAATTGTAATGATACTCCTTTGTGATACTCCTGAAAGAATTTGGCTTTGTCTTATGAACAAGTGATGACAGAACCCAGATTTCTTTTCTCCCAGCTGTCATGAGTATATGCTCATGTTTCTGAACGAATGTTGCTAAAGATGCTTAAAATGGCCTTAACATTTTGAAGCTTCTACTTAACTAAAAATGTATTTAGGAGCTTATGATTAAAAAAAATAATAATAATTGCAATCAAGTTGGTTAGTCTGTAGCTATTATTCAGCCTGTATTTTCTGTGTTTATAATAAACTACCTAGTGTTTGCAAGACTTTTATTGATGTCTAAGTAGGGTTCTTTTTAGAGCACATGACTAATGAAAATTAATTGCTGTAAAAAAATTCTAGAAAGCACCTCACTGCTAACTTTTTTTTTCTTTAAATTTATAGCCATCACTCATATTCCTCATACAGTAAGGTAGAAAAGAATGATCAACAGAAGAGGTTATAAACAGTCTACAGCCCTTATATCTACCAAGCCAGTCTTCCCTAATTAACAATAACAAAGGAAAAATATGCAAATCATCAGAGGACAATGTACACCAAGAAAGCTTCCTCTATTTCTAGACACAAGAAAACCCCACCCTTTTAGAGTTACATCAACAAACCAACTGACCTTGACTACTACATTGCCTGTCTCTTTTTAAGACTCCATAAAATGAACCAAAAGCTGTTTTGGAAGGAATGCACTGCACAAGCCTTTGCTTCCAAGTGTAAATAACTGTTGAATTACTCTTTTGGAAGAAGATTAATTTTGTCCCAGTTTAGGACAAAGAATCCTAGTTTTTCTAGGTTATCCTGTACATATTCTTTCAGAGTTGAAGATTTGGGACAGCTATTAAAATGTTTTAAATATTTAGATTTTAATGCCCCAGTGAAAACAATGTAAACATATGCTCCATGGGCTGCACTCATGTATGCACCTTTCTGTGTCTAGAACTAATTCCCAACTAGAAATAAGTGCAATCAGAAATAGCTCCCTGTACAAAGCCTATAGTATTCAAGTCATTTTTGACCTCACCCTTTTCTTACTTCCTCAGTAGCTATGAGCAAGGTCTGGCAATCTTCAGTGGCTATAGCTGAGAACCATGGGGCTGGACTCAACACCAGCAGTATTTAGCCCTGCTCTGCAAGCGCTGCTGAAATACAGATAACAGTACAGTTTCTAGATTTTCAAAAAATATATATTGATAGTCTAGTTTTATTCCTCCATTCTGGAGAAAGCACTTGCCCTTAAAACTTCCATGCAGTTCACAAGAATCAATGCTCCAGTTAACTCTCGCCACTGTTTTGTTACTGGATTTTTCATTTTGTCCAAGGCTGATTGCAGATCTTGTAAGACATCCCTGTAGCTGTCTCCATAATGGGCAGCCCATGTGTAGAGAAAGTCATATGCAGGTTTCCACATCATCTGCAAATAAGGGAAAATTATGAGAAATCTTAATTGCAAAATTGGACTATTGCAGAAAAAAAAAAAAAAAAAAAAAAAAAAAAAAAAAAAGAAGCAAAATCTTTGCAACAGTCAGAGAAAAGAGAAAGAAGAAAAGTAACTATTTGATCCCTAGCCACGCTGGCATGCTTTCTTATATAAGGCATATTCTTTAAAAAATCCAGGAACCTTATGTACTGCATTGATATGAAATTCTATAATTCTCAGAGGAATAATAAGAGAAAGATAAAGTTTTCATTCAGATAACTATCACAAAGTAAATATACTTCTATGTCTGAAAGTGAAACTAAAGGCACAAGGGTAGAAGGAAAATGCTTTTCCCCTTGATCATTTTTGAAACATATACATCCAACAGCAGTTTCTCCATTGGAGAGTTTGACTTGTGCTTTTGGCCGTTAAAGCCCCGCTTTGTCAAGATTCCACTGTCCCCCTTTGAAGTCCTGAAAATTTAAACATAGTTCTTATCTACACAAAAAAATTTTAAGGTGACATCAACAGAAACATCTGCCTAATAGAGCAAAACAAAACAGAAGCAGACAAACAAATAAAACTGCTCAAAGAGCAGGAGAATAGAAAGTTTTTATAATTAACTTCTTAAAATTAGGGCATGCTATTTTAAAAACTATCCTGCAACAAATAAAGGAAATAATAAAAATTAAGAAAATATATATAAGAAAAAACAAGCTACCAGTGCTTCTTATTGCAAATCACAATATGTTTAATTATTTTATGTTTAATAAATATGGAGTAGATCTTCTCCAGATGTAATTTGTCATTCACCTTGTGGCATTAATGCAGATATGGCAGCATGATTCAGATACCAAGCTTGACTTGCATCTTTCAAAGTGCTGATGCACAGAGTAAGTTTGCTCTTGTTTACAAACAGAAAGCTTGTCTTCCCATCTGCTGCTTTCAAAAATTTAACTTAGACGTCTAGTTCCCTTCTTCTCATTGGCAACAGAGGTTTTGCGAACAGCAATTTAATTAGCAGTTGTATGGATGATACACAAAGCCATAAATAAACCTTTTGCTTTCCTAAATAGTACTGTCATATGGTGTTTTGAGAAAAATACACTTATGCATACTAATAAAAGCACATGAACTGATGCGTACACATGTATGTATACACACAGAAGTGACCAGGAGTCATCTAATTCTAAAAGGATTTTTAAAATATTTTTTCCTTTTTTAATGGTGAAACAATTGCATGTTTCTGAAGGATAGTTCAGAAGGAAATTGGTTATTTCTTCAATATCCTGTCCTATGAATGTGCAATAGACAATGTAAAGCTCCACTTCCTTACTTTGAGCTCTATTTATTTGATCAGCTGAGAAAACAAGTAGCTGGAGGAAATTCCTTTACCTGTGGTTCTGAACTTTCCTCTGTATTTGGGCTAAGAACTCCTAGCTTACTCAAATATTAACTTTACTGTAGTTTCTGTCAACATCTCCCTCATCCTTAAATGCAAAAATCCATACAATTAATCTCCCTGGTAGTATACCTCACAGTTTGGTTAGTCTGATTTCTGCCTTTAGTTTAAGCCATAAGAAAGTGCAAGTGCTTTGGGTGAAGTCTGTCATTTAAGCTTTTTAAAATTCTTTATTCTTACTTCTAGCTTGATAAGCAACATAGCCAACAAGAAAGCTGGGATTTCTTGATATGCTACTGCTGTGTCTTTTCTCTATCTCCTGCTTCCTTTTCTTACAGCCTGCTGGACCAGGCTATTTGAAAGATTAGGGGACAGCCTTTCTCTGGTGATACTTACTAGTATGCAAAAAGACAGGGAGTATTAAAAGATGCTATGCTTTGACTTACATTGAAGGTCTGTCTGACACAGCACAATCAGAGAATTGCCTAAAATACAAACCATGCTTTCCTCAACTGATTTTTTTTTTTTTTTTCCAGGACAAAAGAAAAACGTAGACAATCAGAAACTTTATGAACAAGTCATCAGTAATGCAACGAGGCAGTAACCTACATGTTCATCACACCTAACTAATACTGCAGACCAGGTTTCTGAGATAGGTCCTTCTCCGCAATCACACACTCTAATGCAACAGCTGAACTAAATCAGGTTTGACACTACTGAATTTCAACAAAGCAAATTTTTAAGGCAAACTATTAAATCACTGCAGCATGCTGGGCAAATCACATTTCAGCTACGTGCCTGGGTTTTCCCTCTGCTCCCACTACCTCTGCTGAGTAGATAATAATGATACCCACATTCTCCATAAAGTGATTTGGAATTTACTGATGAAAAGCACTTCAAAAGCAAGGCATCAATTGTATGCACCTCAATTTGTCTTTCTGATCATCTGAGAGAAGATTTCTCCCACTAAGAAAAATACTCCAATTAGAAATAGAAACATTTTTTGGCCAATCAATCCTTCTGATGGAGAATAGTCCTTGATTAATGAATTGGTTAATGTTTTCAGACAATAGTAATTAGTCAGAATCATTATTCCTTGAATTTTCTTATTTTTTCACTTACATACAAACAACTACTATTAACAAAAAAAACCTACATTGCAATTGGTAAACTCCAGGATAAGATTATTTTAATGGTGTTTCTTTTGTAGCTTCTAAGTAAACATGACAAACAGCAACCATTCTGAAATAAATAATCAGACTAACACTAACCTGGTAAAAATCATGCAGTCTTTCCCACACAGGTATGAATTTACACCGTGTTAGCTATATTCATTTTGCATCCCACATAGGCACTCCCACTGAACATAAACAATAAATTTTATAAGCAGAGTACAGTTTTCTGTAGAGGTTTCTTCAGAGGTTCAATTCACTATACCAGTGAGAAGTTCAGAGATTTGTCACTGGTTTTATATGATAGATATATATAGAACTCGACTTTATTATCTTCAGGCATAAGATGATGTCATAGGAAGGTGGAGAATCTTGTAGATGGTTTATTATACTATGATTTATATTAGGTGGGAATGTACATAGATGGATATATAATGCCTATATATTTGAAGCACATATTTTTGAGATAGATATTTTTGAGAAGATATTTTTGAGAAGAAATGATAGAAATTTGCAGTAAATGCAGAACACTGTATGTGAATCAAAATGTGTATCTGAGTCAAATACGGGTCTGGAGCTGGAGCAAGGCATTCAGAGGAAGAATCGGTGGTTCATGATCAGAGCAGAAATCTCTTGACAGTAATCACAATGCAGATAAGACTGAGATTAAAGATTCAAAGGAATTAGGCTGTAGTAAGGAAAATATGCTCAACAGGAATCAGGGAGAATCAGCTACAGGGAAAGAAAAAGGAAGAAAGAATATCTTGAGCTGCTGTGAAGGCGTGAATGGCAAATAGAAGCAATTTTTTAGATACCAAGATGTAACAGAAAAGGGATTCAGATTGGGTAATGTGCATTATCTGCAATAATCAGAGGATATTGCAGGCAAATGGAGGGTCAATCCTGAATACCTAATCCCAAGCAGAAAAGTCACATTGAGCAACATTCAGTGATATACATAAGAGAATGTTCAATGTTAAACCCAGTCTGAGAACTATCAGTTATCGGCACATAGCTCTGTAGGATACAGTGGATACAGAAAGTAGAGAAATGTAGGAAGAAAGTTGGCTGCCCAGGCTAAGGTGTGTCAGGAATACAGGCTGGCCCTCAAGTCAGAGGTGGGCACGAGCCCAATCTAAGTCTTATGACATATCTGTCACACTGCATGGATGCTATGGATACCTCTGAGCATCTTCAAATAGCACTAGAGATATACTTAGGTGCCTAAATTGCCTATTGACTGTATACACACTAAAATATATCTGAGAAGACAACTTGACTTTTATTTAGAAGTCATACTTCTATTTAACCAGAGTGCTTTTACAACACAGGGCAAATATGAGCTACGTGGCAAACCATCCACTTAAAACAGGGTTTGCCATGTTCATATAAAAGGAGGTGAAATTGGTGTCAGAGATTGCCTTGAATGAGTTTGATGGTGAGAAATTTAACACAGACGAAGAAGAGGAAAATGTTAATAGTAGAGTTAAGCTTGTTCTCAGTGGAGAGAACAAAAGCTGTACTGAAGGTGATTTGAAGGAGCTCACTGCAAGGACTGGATGGTCTTCCTTACTGCAACTGAAATTACAGCAGCTGGGAAAAAGAAAGAGAGGAGTGAGCAAGACTGAGAATAAGATAGCAGGTCAATAAGGGATGGAAAGTGACCCTTGGGATGGAAAGTAAAGATCTGAAACTCAAGATAGAGAGATACCTGGATCTCCACACCAAATTAATTTGGCACAACACTCTACAACTGGCTTCAAAGGAAAATCTTAATAATTGTAAGCAAAACTTGATGAGAATTTCTTGCCCTGAAGAGATTACAAACTAAATACAGAGGCAGTAACTATAAAAGGAAAAAATTAAACACAGCAAGGAAGAAGAAAAGTCCCTGGAAAGGAGCAAAGGTGCACATTGCATTACCCAGAACTTTACCTCCAGAGCCACTGCTCCACTTTTCCCTTGATGGGGTATCTCATAAGCCTCTATTTGCTGCTTCGTGAGTCGGGCTAGCTTCTCTGCGAGCTCCCGCCAGTATCTGCCAAGCTTCACAGCTGATGTCAAAATGACGGTGTCCTGGGTAAGACGGGCCACTAATCCCTGGCAATCTATTTTCAAAAGTGCCTGCAACAATCATTTTCATTAATATCCCTTCACAAAGGAACTTCCTACAAACATCATTATAATTTGTCTTCAAAGCACTAGTCTACATTTTCAAGCTGACAAATCTTTTTCCAATAAAAATGCATTGCCAATAATTTCATAGGAAAGCTTCCCACAAGCTTAAGAAAAAAATTAGGCTGGCATTCAGCTGCTTCAGCGTTCTAGTGTCACATGGATATTGCCCAGCTAAGGGATCCTGAAGGGAAAATATTTTTCAACAACAAAAATATCTGGCCCATCAAATTATCTTAGAGTATGACACGGAACTTAAAACTGAAATTAAAGTACTGTTGCACTAAGACGTGGTCCTCAGTCTACTGCTTTTCCAGAACACTGATTACACTGGCCAGCACCCTTTGATTTATTCCTCTCATATAATGGAAAATTTGCCAATCATCACACAGAAATGTGAAAATGAAAGTCCCCATGCCAAATGATCTTTCAAGAGCAAATGAATTAACATATTTCCAGGAGCAAAGTCCTCAAAGGCTGCATTCTCACTTCTTATTTATTTCCTCAACAGCTAATGAGAAAATGGGTGGCGGTTATTAATTTTTTTAACAGAAAGATGTTCCACAAAAAATATTGGTTTGCCAGAGCAATATCAAGAACCAAAACCAGAGAAGTTTCTCTATGTTCTGATACTGATTTTTTTATACAATAGCAAGCTTTTTGCCTGAAAACAGCTAGTTGTATATTTTAGTTGAAAATGTTCCATAAAAATTCTCATGGAAGCAGAAATTTTGGCAGATAAGATGCTTGGCTAATGTAGCTAATCAAGAAATAGTCAACATGGATCCAAAATTCTCCCATACTAGTGCCCAACCAGAATAATATCCTGAAGTCACTACTGAGAAATGGACAATAATATACAGTACCAACACCCTTTACACTTAGGCAAAGTGGACTGCCCCTCTGCTGCCATCTGTCACATGGTAATAAAATGTAATGGAATATTGCCAGGAAAGTTCAACCTTTACTACCATACCTCCAACATCTTCCTCTGACTTTATGGGCCAACATAATAAAATAGGAGGCATTACTTTCAGAGCAGCCCTCATATAAGTTGCTACCACAGAAAATAAATTCTAAAATATTTTCAATGTTGTCCTTATGCAGCTACAACACTGAAACTGTCAAACATGGACCAAAAATCTTGTCTTCAACAAACAGATAGGTCACAGTTCCCTTGCCTTAAAAATATAATGCAATCTTAGAAATACATCTTATGGCAGAAATGCTATAGCAGTTCTCACACTTTGTGGTTATTAATTGCTTCTAATTAGGACTGTGAATTGCTTAGGTAAATAATTTACTATTGATTTGTGACAATGACAAAAGACAAAACTACTTCGACGATGGCCTGTCAACATACTACATGAGCAAGATTTCTGGTATGTTTACAGAAGACTATATAAAGTAAATGGATTAAAGCATTATTTTTCATAAGAGTCTGGATGCATTTTACATCTATAATTATCTGCAAAAATTAGTAGTATGTTCAGGTTTGTAAAAGTTCCTGTGAAGGTGTAGGACAACATTTTCTTGTTCATGTTACTACTGACATAGCCTCTTGGCAATGCATTCCCAACAACCAAGTTAGTTCATGCAATACTTACAATAATGAGCTCATAAAGGAATAGTCTCTTTTTTTTGTTAGCATGGCAGTCTTCCTTTAGCCTTTTTACAACATGCGCAACTCTGTCTGATTCTTTATCACCATGTACCTCATTAAAGTCATCCAAAGATATATGTGAATATCCTAGCACCTCAGCCAAAGCTCTCCAGTCATAAACACTCTCTGATACTGTAGATAAAACTACTGAGTAGATATAAGTCAGTTTTTTAAATGGCAATGTAATCTGTTCAACAAGATTCCTGGTTGTCAGTTCGCTGTCAGCTGTGTCCATAGCTTGCTCTTTGGAAATCACTTTTATGTTTTTACAATGTACAAGACCAATCTTTCTTCTGAGAACTCCTACATACCAGTCTTTTATCTTAGCTTGTCCAATGGCTTTTACTTTATCTTCACCAAGAAGTGCTATTGTGTCTCCTTTAAAATATTCCAGCAAATAGTCAATTTTATTTTGACGTAGCACAGTTTTCAAAGCTACTCCATAAGTATTAACATTCAAAATTTTGTCTTGAAACTTTGGGTATTTAACTGTTGGTATTAAAAGCAAAGGTGCAGACTTGATTTCTTTGCGTTTTTGTAAGCGCTGTGGCCTACTGATAATTCCACTTAATTTTGGAGCTGGATCAGGGGTCGTAACATGGAATTGTGTTATTTGGCTACTTTCTGAGACTTTAATCTGAACAAGAAAAACAAAGAAATGCATCTCCCTACATCCTAGCATGGAAAACAGGAATTGTTGGCGGACCATTTCACCAGTTTTCAGTTCCTCCTCTTTAATATTTTTGCCTTCATCTTCCATCTTCACTTCAAAATCTGGATCACAGGATACCAAAGAAATGTTTAGATCTTGGGGCTTGTCAAGCAGAAATGTATGTTTTCCCCACAGCTGAAATACGACAGGGGGCATATTTTTCCCTCCTTTTTTTATATCACAAATAGTAAGTTTTCCTGGAATGTAGTTATGACCAAATACTGCAAAAACTGCTGTAAAAGATGGATGAATATATTTGGGACCATAAATCCCAACTGAAACAGTTCTATGAATGTAGTCCCAGACGTTAGTGGCTGGAGGCTGGAGTTTGTTTGCCTGTACTGCAATCACTGCATACATCACGTGACTTAGGTCCGATAGCTTCACTTGTATAGTATCTTGATAAGTGTAGCAATTCTCTAGCTTCTTAAAAGGCCCTTCTTTATCGAGACTAAAAAAACAGACAATATCACTCATAACTTGACTGAGAGGATCATTCTTCACTTTAGCTGCAACTTTCACCTCTAGGAAAATAGCTTCCTTCGTGTTGAGGTTGCTCAGTGTAAGTTCTATCAGAGGACTTACAGTGCTAGACAGCTCATTGTTAAATGACGATGGAGGGTTAAGGATAGCCCTTAAACCAACTTCTTGGAATTCTCCAGGTAATACATGACCTACAGGGACGTGAACATTGATATCAGAGTCAGGTAGCTGTACTGAACCCCCTTCATGATTCAGTTTACAGACTACATGAATGTCTGCAGCTTGTGTCTGTGCCCATCCAGGACTATGGCTCATGGCTTCTAAATCTAGGCAAGACCGAGTGAGTTGTCGGTGACTCAACCAAGCCATTTTGTAGGCTTCACGGTCAATTTGAGGGCACGTCGTGTCAGAAACTGTAGTTTTTTGAGGCGTTGGCTTATGAGGATTAAATCTTCGGTTATCAATAATATCCAAGAAGTCAGAAACACTCTTGGATCGTCCAGACCTTCTTGTTGAGCTCTTTCTTAGAAGACAATCAATATTTAGCTCATCTCCTGAGGAAGCCAAAGAATCCCTGTCACTAGAAACTTTAGAGAACAAATGGGACTTTTCTTTCAAACTAGAAAAGTATTTATTGTTTTCATTTCTATTGGAAGCAGCTATGTCATATACAAAAGGATTGGAGGATGACAGTTCATTCCAGAAAGGGTTAGTCTTGGAAATAGTATAGGTATGTTTGAACAGATCAGACCACTCAATATCCAAATCCATTTTGCTTTCATTGACATCTGTTTAAGAGAAGAAAAGAAAAAAAAAATAATCACCAAGTATTTTCACAGAAACTTGAGACATTCCATTAGTTTCCAACCAACGCTCTTAAAATGACTGAGAGACCAAATTTGTCATCTTAAAATGCATATGGATCAAATTGTCAAGGGATATATTTGTATGTTTTTACTTCAGATCATTAAAGAGTATCAATATTGACTATCAATGCTTTCAAGTAGCATTAAGAATTTTCATTAATAATAATAATAGTACTAACAAATCAGCACTGGAAGCTGTTAAAAAATCTTCTGCAAAGTTCTGATTACTATGAACACCAATAAATGTTAATTAGTATCAAGCATGCTAAGATCCCATAAGGTTTAAGCCACTACATTTCAGTAATCCTTGGTCTCCTACAAAATTCCATGGGTTTTTTTCTTTTGTGACTATCTCTATGCAAAAATTAAGCAACCACTGTTTCATTTTCAGACACTGTGGACAGTATGGATTCCTTTTCATGTTAGAGCATGTGTATTTAATTGATATCAGCATTCTTACAATTTATCTCAGTGTGAGTGAAATTTGTTCTACCAGCTTTTTTTAAAAAAAATTCATTGGTATAATCTATGATTTTTTTACAATTTGAAATTCAGAAAGAAATGATTTTGTGGCAAATAGTTTTCCTGAGATTGCATTTAAATAGAATAATAAAATCCTAGAATCATTAAGATTCGGAAAGACCATTGAGATAATCTACTCCAACCTTCAGTACATATATTAAATAAAATGTAAATAGAAAAATAAGGGTATATAAGTGATATTTAAATGTGTTTTTAATAAGAATACTCATCATTAACAAGGTCTATTTGCTTGAATATAAAATGCCCTAATATTTTATATTAATAACAGTTCACAAAAGATGGCTCCTATGTTTATTGACTCACACTTCCTGCAACAGTCTGACTTTTTTCACTAAGGGTTTCTGTCACTAATAGTTTGTCACTATTCCATACAGAGTATGTTGTATACCATCCTTTCTTTGTACTTGCTTAAAATCCTATGAGGGATTTTAATTTTAGAGGTAAAACTCAGCATTTCTATTCATTCAGCATGTTTATATTCTTCATTATTACACTTCCCATAGAAGTTTTCAAGGTTATTAATTATTGCTGAAGCACAGGAATGGCAGTGCACTCAGCCAAAAAAAGAATTGAAACACTTGTACTTTTCAGTTCCAATTTTTTGTGAACTGTGACAAAAAGCCTGAACAGTGAAATTTTTCCACAGTTCCAGTAAAATCCCAAATGAGAAGAACCAAAATGGAAATTATCTGTTCTTAGCTACCCATCTGGAAGGCTTAGGGTTGTCTCAACCAGACTCTTTGAAAGGAGCTGCCAGCAGGAATGAGCACAAGGCCACCAGACTGGGCTGGGCTGGGCTGCTCAATCACCAATTGGCCTTTCCTTTCTGTCCAGTGTCCAAAAGCTTTCCCTGCATTTCAGTGCTATTACAGTAGAAACATCATATTAAAAATAATAATAATAATAATATCTGAAGTAAAATTCTATACATTTATATATATTAAATATATATATATATGTCCCAGACTCCATCTTCTTAAGTGGTATGTTTCCAAAGAATTCTGAGCAGAAAGCTCTGACAGAGCTCATTTTGTTAAGGTGGAGTCTTTTGCATACCAAGCTAGCAGCACAAGTTACCGAAGTGCAGTAGGTTAGCAACCTACTTACCCCCCAGCTTGCACAGCTGGGTGAAGCTGTGCCGTTCGTCACATCTGTAATTGGACAAAAGTTAAGAGGTCTACCTTGTGAAGGGGAACATTACCTCAACTTTTGGTTTAAAATAATAGTGAGAGTAAAGTAACTCTGGTTTTAACTCAAATTAACAGATGACATTCAATCCAAAGTTTTCTACAGTCCAAAACTCAAGTTGTCAAGCTGGGCTAGTGTCAAAATTCCCTCTTCAGATTTCTGGTATTTTAAAGAAACCCTAAATTAATGAAGTTTGGTTAAACTTCTCTCTTCTCCCCCCATCTCCATCACCAAGAGCACACCCTAAATAGCACTTATTCATATGAGGATAATGGTTCCTCCTAACCTGACTGAATCATATTTGCCGAGATAGGGAACTTCTCTTATGCTGGCAAGTTTCTCCTAGGGGACCTGCACTCTGACTCCAAGGACAGCCATTATGGTTTGAGCTGCGCAAAACACAAGCAATACAAGAAAAACAAACAAACAATACGATGTTGTACAGGGATTTACAGGGTAGCTGTAGCTCTTAACACTATCAAAAGTTTTGTAGAAGTACAGACTTGAGGTGGAAAGCCTTAATAGAGAAAACAGCAGCATACTGTAAGTAGCTGAAGGTATCCGGTCATCCACATCAATCAGAGTGCCCTCTGACCTGCTTCGTGGAATCTCTGAGTTATGGAGGGAGGCTGTTCCACTGCTAGAAGCATTTTCCTCCTAGGAAACAGTTAAATGTGTAAAACATTAGCAAGCCGCAAAAGTGGAAACTGTTGAAGAATAGTTGAGTTTTGCTCCTGTGATAGAATAAAAGAAAAAACTTTGTGACATTATGGTTTAATATATGGAGTTTGCCCAAGAGCACTGCAGTCCTCAGTCTCACTGTCTAATTTACAGAAAAAGCACCAGATGTAACAGCTACAGTACAGTGAAGCACCCCAGCATTTGGGGAAAACAAACAAATCACATATTTAAATGTCTTGCACGTAGAATTGAGTCAATTTTACAATAATTTCCATTATGAATGTCTTGTAGAAAACCTTTATAAAATAATAATAAACATCTCAATTCCTATTTTCAGTTAAACTTGACTAGAAACATTGAAGGAGAAGATCTAGGTCTATTCATTCCTCTGTCAAGTAATATAGAACATTTCCAGCCCTATACTGTTGTAAGTGATGGCAGCTAGTAAAACCATTAAGACACTTGGAATTTTAAAAATAAATAAATAAATAAAGAGGAAGGGAAGGGGAAAACCACAGATTTTTTGTGGTCCATCCACAGGATACAACAACAGTCAGCTTTGTTCAGAAGTCTAAAGTACTGCAGCCTGCCACTTCTTCAACAGAAACTGCAGGCGACTCAGATCTTGTTTTTATTGTGATTAAAAAGAGGAAAAAAATGCTTTGGAGAAGGTTTTGCTGTGGTTATTAAAAAAAAAAATCAGTTACAGTTCCAGTAGGTGAATTATGGGAAAAAAGAAGTACGCTTTATAATAGAAAATTACTGAATGAGAAACTGGAAGCTGGATGACTGTTTCCATTGTGCACGGTGCAATGGCTGAAGATGTGATTTTTTTTTTTCACTGCAGATGTAACTCGGTACCTTTTATTCTTATGACAATGGCTATCTTCAGCAAATGGCCATCTGATCAGATGCTGATTTGCACTCAGGCAGGATGGAAGGCTGATGTCAGGTTAAGGCTGACAGCCAGCCAGTGGCTTTGCTGTAATGGGGCTGCAAGCACTCTTAAGGTTCCTGCTACCAGAAATCTCAGCCTTCAGCTTTAGAAAGGCTGATTTCAGATAACAGTGGAAGCTTGCCTCCAAGACTCATAGTTGTAGCTTATGCTATTAATGCCATACCAAAACCAAATCTAAAATGTCTCTTTCACCCTGACACTGTAATTCCAACAGCTGACATCCCATATCTGTATAAAATTGTCACCATCTGCTGTATAGAGCAGTATCTTTGATAATGTATCTGCTTTCCTACAAAGTAAATATTCTTTATTGCTGCTGTATCTTGAAATGCTGAAAAACTGAATATGTTGTAGAAGTATGCCAGATTTTAATCTCAGATTTCCATTTCAGGGATTTGGGGTGTTTAATCACCAGTTTCGACTGTAGAGACATTATGTTGGTATCCATAGTTTAAATTCCCAGTAAGTTTACAAAAAGAAAGTCTAGTTCTTGTAGCATCAGCATATGCATTGTCAGCACTGAACTCTGACTGATGATTTATTGACAAATTAATCTAAGAACAGTTCTTTGAATAGTTAATAAAAAGAACACGCATTTCAGTAGCTCTTTGAATGGGGATGCAATAAGTTAAGATGAGGATAGAGCAAGATAAGGCAAGTAGCTGCAGAAAGACTGAAGTAAGAACCCTTAGGGAAAGGGAGAGAGAGAAAGAAAAACAAATCTCTTACACAGTGGGTGCATATTGTCAGAGACATGAGAACAAGATTGCATATTGAAATCTTATACACACTACAAACTTCTGCAGAAAGAATAAGCCAGTTCCTAAAAGCTTCCTCTGGGAACTCGTTAAAATCTTACCACTAGCCTGGCACAAAGACAGTAGAGACAGATACTGAAAAGGAAAAGCAATCTCAAAAATAAGGCCTCTCTCTTATGATGAGGGAGCCCTTGTTATTTAGGTGCATCTTCAGGCCAGACAAAAAGAGGAGGAGGGTGAGGGACAACATAGATGTTTGTTTGCAAACATTGACCACATTTGGTCAGGATGCCATGGGATGTGGGAAATACCAAGGACAAGCTGTACACATACCATGGGATACTGTGTGCTGTGCTTCCTGAGCACAATGACATGATCTGACTGCAGGGCTGGATCCAATTTCTTCTGTGTTTCAGCCCTAGTGCTGGGAGTGCTTATACTACCATTGCCCCTGTATCAGACTCTTGAAGTAAGAAAGCCCAATGCTTCCCCTTCTCTGTATGTAAATTCTGTGATAAAATAGCATCCTGACAGAAACTTTGGATAGGGCAGCCCGAATAATTAGAAACTTACCTCAGTAAATCCAAATGAACAATCATCTGCATGAGAGGAGAAATCAGTGCACATGGGGTGAAAAACCATGCTGAACAGGAGCGAAGGGAAAAGTTATGAAAATCTTTTGTTGCAGAAAGAAGGAATTATATATGGAAAGAAACAGAAGCTATGCTTTTCATTTCTGGTAGCTGCTGAGTAAGAAAGATGTAACCTGACAAGTACTTAATGGTGCAGAGAATTATTTGACTGATAGTATGTCAGCTCACAGCATGAAGTGAGCAGGAAATAAAGGAAATAAAGAAGTAAAGAAGTTGGAAAGAGATCATCTACACTGGTGACCAGAGAGCAAACCTGTGGAGAGACATGACACTTTTCCTATGAGAGAAAGAAATAGTTGGGTGCAGACTGCTATTACAGCCTCAAGGACTCTGCTCAGCCCATGGGGAAAGCAGGGCCACAGTGCTCCTGGTAGGCACACTGCAGACTGTCACATGGAAAGGAAAACACATTAGAGGGAGTGGAAAGACTCAGGTAGAAAGCTGAAATTTTCAGAGAAGTCAGGAGACAGATTTGCTGCAAACAGCATTTTTGCTGCATGCGATGCCTCTGGAAATGTCATCCAGGTCTTTTAAAATTCAAGTGCATTTTTTTCTTCCTCTAGAGCTGCTACCAAAGAAAACATGTCCTGCTGTGCTTAAAATAGTGGTGAGGAAAAAAATAAAGAAAGCCCAAAAGCAAACACTTCCCCACTGCCTCTGCCCTCAAAAACAAGACAGAACACATTCCTTGGTGTTTTTAAAGTATCAGCATCCCAGAGTGAGACACCAGCAATATGCCTTTCATTCAACCTTAGCCCTGTTTGGCCTGCTTCAAGAAGAGTCTGTGTTAGCAGCAGAGTTATACTGTGGCAGTGCCACCCCACAGATTCCTTGCACATGTAGTGATATTCAGGCACTATTCACAATGATTCATGGCCTTTGCATCCAGAGGATGAAGTTTTGTCATTTGCAAAGATGAGACAAGCAACACAAGCAGGTGATGGAGACGTACTACTCAGGCTCACTCAGCTGTTATGAGGGATGATGACTTTCTAGTTTCAGAGGCTAGATTATTAGATTTAAGATTTACGAGTATAATTCTGAAAACGGTGCGAGGCCTTTTTGTCAGTTTTAAATACAGTATTCCTGACCTAACCAAGTGCACAGAATCATTTAAATTCTATCAAATGAAGAGAAGAAAAAGATTTCTAAAGAGAAAGCAAAACAGAAGAGAGAGATGGTTTCAGAAGGTACTACATATCATCATAAAGTCTAAAACACCTCATGTTTTATATAGATTAACATGTCTGCAACTAGTATCAGTTACATCAATGGGTCATATTACAACAGTCCCTTGATACTCATGGTCTGCAGACAGGTGGTTGGATATGAGCCTACCAACCTCTTGACCACAAGACTGAACTATGGTACTGTAGTTAATGGTAGTACAGGACAATGAGCAAAGTTTTCAGTTGATATGATACAGTCTTCATCTTACTGTCTTAGCCTAGGATGTGTGAGACAGTTAAAGGATTGCATCTGTATCTCATTTTGTACTGAGAAAGCAGTGGCTTTTAATGTTCAAACTAAAGATCTCAATCGTATATTACCCACCTTACCAGTACTTAGCAGCAGCAATGATAGTGCCTTAGTATCATCCTGTTACCTGTCACTTTGCCTATAACAATAAGAAGATGTTTTCAAATGATATAGTTACTAACTTATTCTACTTTTAAGTAGCTGACTCATTTGGTACCTACTTTTCAATTCCGAAAACTTATTATATTATGATAATGTGATTTGCAGATGCATTCACACTCCTGCCTGAACCCAGGTTTTAAGGTTTCTGCAGACCTTCATGTGGTAATGTTTGTAACTGACTTAATCACTGCTCATAATACTTAATTTGAGCTAGCTTTAAAGGGCAGAGCTAGTAGTCTTAGTGCAACAGAGAGCAAGACCTGAAGTGGGTCATCCTCTCAGTAGATTTCCACGACTTCTCAAGGGGCTTTTTATAGCCTCCACTTAGCTCTGCACTACCCAGAACTTGCTGCTTTGTAGTCAGTTTGGAGAATACTATGCAAGCAAAAAGTGCCTACACTCTCTTTACAAAGCAAACACCCTTCCTTTCATTCCACACATCTACACTACTAAATTGCTTGCTATAAGCATAAGGGCAGTGGCCTTTATTTTTTTATTACAAACCTTGCATTTGGGAACATTGCTTGCTTAGATAAATCTTGATGTTGTATTTTACGTTTCAGCTATCACACTGAAATAAATTATGGTTTCTCTTTGGCATCAGAAAAAAAAATATATATATATATATATATAGACAGACATTGCTTTCCACCTGCATTACCAAATAAATTTTTAAAGAACTGAAAATGGAAAGTAAGGATATTCTTAACAAATTAAAGTTACCAACTTTGTGCCACTAAATTGTAATATTACTTCTTTATTCTGAACAGAGAACTTCCTACATTTATTTCCTTAATTGTTCTAAAAACTCATTTACTTCTTCTCAAAAGCCTCTAAAAACAATAATAGTGTTTTTTAAAAAAACAAGCAAGCAAACAAGCACAACAGATTATCATGTGCCATGTTTAAATAAACATACTTTGGAAACACAGAGTTGCTTCACTGCTGGTGGCCCAATGGAAAATT